GAAAGTTTTGCAATGATACAACTGCCAGCAGCACGCGAAGATCATGATTACTATGGTTCTCGTAAGTTCTTGATCAGAGATATAGATGGGAAAATATGTATAGTGACTGCTCAAACTAGTCGTTATGATGCCAGAACTCTTGTCGGTGAGCTGCAGATCTGGGCACTTGACAACATGGTAGAGCAAAGGTGGAGCCAGAAGTACAACATTAAGTACCCACCAGATTACATTCTGGGTCCACGTTTTGTTCACAGGGATAGAATCCTCACACAACGTGGCCACAATAATGTATGTTCGTACGAGTTGCTTGGTGAGAACTTCGAGATTGATTCAAGTAAGATGGTGAAGCTGTTAGATTTCAGTCCCTGCAGGCACAACTTGCAATCTCACAACTGTGTGAAGTCACTTGTACGTTTAGATGTATACAAGAATGCTAAGATTGTGTGTAGGCCAAAACAGCGGGAAGGCTGGGAATTGAACAAGTGGGAGGCGTGGGAGCGTGGGCTCTCTGAGAATGAAAAATTGCGGAGTATCATTCACCAAGTTGAGCTTAATGGAATTGTATGTCGACTGCATTCAAATTGAGTTTAGCAGACATTCATTATTCTGGAAATTTTAAAAATAGCTGAGTTGCAGAAATTTAAAGGAAATTCATTATTTGACAGGCATGTGCACAACAAAATGGCATATGGTTCAATGATATACTGCAACATATATTGGATGATGCGATTCGACGGGAAATTGGCATGAAAATCGATCAAATATTTCCAAACTTTCCAGACCAGGTAATTCTTTACCTAAATGGATGTCAGCATACCTTTATTTTTCACATTTAAATTTGAATAGGCATTAATCATTTGAAAAGCAGAAGGCATATGAATGTTTGAGTGCACCCTTATCGTTGTTGTAACACATGCCTTGCATGAGACTCCAGCAGACAAGACCCCTCCGGCATCTTAATTGTGTGGCACAGAAGCTGGATCAGGACAATTTAATTGCTCGTATTAATAATAGTGAGACTATTATAAAGGTATAGTGTTTTAAATTTACAAGCCAGATCATTGACGACTTTTCGTTGAAACATGTCAAATGAATAAAGTTAAACTTGTCTACAGGCTATGATTCAGACAACAAATAGTATCTTTGACATGATTGATAGTGCTGTAGATGACCAGGTAAAAGTTTACATTTGATCTAATTTTTTCATGTTTTCCCTTTCTGCTATAGCTCGCTAGTTCTTGTCTCCAATATCTGTTTTAATCTCTTCCGGAATAAAAGAAATAGTTTCTTATGAAATATAAGCAAAGTAATTGGATTATCTCATGTCATACAAATGAATGACCCCCTTGTAATAATGCAATTATTTTCCATCCCATATTTTAATTTATGCATACACCTGTACTTTAGTTCTTTTTGCTAAGTGTGCAAGTTGTCTAGTTGTCGTGTTCATTGATTTGTTAGGTAGGTAGCCCGTACCCCACAATCAACAAATTTTGCATCAGTAAGAAATATTTTTTTCATCAAGGTTTGTGTAAGTGCCCTAAATTTGGGAACTGGGTTGGTTGCAAAACACTTTACGTGTTGATTCCTTTCTTAACTTGTATTTTCAGACTTACAGACATAGATATAGGTTCTGCCAAGTTTTATCGTCTTTTAATGGCATGGTATTGCTTTCAGTCCCATTCTTATACATTTGCTGGCAGACTTAGTGAATAATGGTTAATTGAGCATAGCTGTGCAGCTGTGTTTGGAACTAAAAGTTACTTTGGTTGCTGTCAAGTAATGTAAGAGGTACTTAAAGTTGTTCTACATCGTACAGCTTTATATAGCAGACAAATTAACATATAAGACTTGAGGAACATTCAGAGTAGGAAGCATGGATTGATTGGTAAATGTTAAATTTTCCATTTCCCGTTTTCTCGTTTGAGCTTCAAGTTCAAAACCTTTTCTTTTTAAAGGAACTGAAAACATTTTGTTATCTTTTCCTGTAATGGGAATTCTAGACTTTTCCCTGATGTGTGATGAAAGTACCATTATCTTGTGTTTGAACCTTACTCATGTTTCAGATTGGTGCTTCGAGTACAAATGCTGGCATTTCTTCTCAGAATCACAGCGAGGGCGATGACGCGAAGACTTGATACTTGAGAGCTTATCGTCATTCTTCTCAGCCTACTAAGGCTGTTATTCAACTCTTGCTTCTTTTTACCGTCGAGGGACTTGTTAGCTCTTTCGCCTGTAGAGCAGTTATTTCTGCAGTACCACCGTTATGTTTTCTCGATTTCAATTTGTTGCACTTGGACCTGATTAAAAATATTGGTCTGTTTGAGACACTGAAGAATTTGCGTACTGAAAGACCTTTGATCAGAAGATCCAAACCAGGTTCCTGACACGCCCTGTATTCTGAATCTCTGTTACAATTCTGCGTTTGCCTTTTGGGGTCACGGTCCAGTAGAGTACCAAGGGGGTATCCCGGTATCTTACGTATCTTTAGAACATGATCATGCCGGAAATATGAATTGTGGTGTGATTCCGGTCAGAGTTGTAAGCAAGTGGCTAAATATGTAAATTTTCATTACTGTTTTGCGCAGTTAGCGTTGTTTGTTAATTTGTGAACTGCGACGCCTCCAATTTGCACGCCCTGAACAGCAGCGACCATGATCTTGATCCCGAAACACGAGGGCGCAACGCAGCTCACTGACTTGAGGCCTGTTAGCCTGATCCACAGCGTCGCCAAATGACGTTGTGCTCTTCATCAGCCCATCCCGGACTGAGATGCATGCCGATGCCGTTGTCACTCTTGTGGAGTTGTTCCACTCCATCTCGGGGCTGCGGACCAACCGGAGCAAGAAGAGTGCAGCGACTCCGATCAAATGCTGCCACGACCACGAGACGGCCCTGTTGGCTGCCGTTGTCTGATGCAAGGCTAAGAAGAGAAGATCTAGAACCAATCCTTGACGCACTGGCCAAGAGACTCCCTGGCTGGACATGTAAGCTCATTGCACTACCAGCAAGAATCCCATTTGCTCTCTCTGCCACCCACACCGACCCTGAGACGGCGTTACATCTCATCGCTGGCTACCCCTTCTCCCGACAAGTTTGGGCACAAACGGCCTTCTACTTGGGGAGGCCTTTCTCTGACCTGGACATGTCCATGGCAGGCAGCCTACGCTCTCGGTTCCGACGGCCGATCTCCAGAGCCACCGGGAAGGCTGCCTGCCCCTGCCTGCTTGTTTCTTGGTGCCTTTGGAAGGAACGGAACGACAGGATCTTCAAATTCAGCTCTGTTGCACACGTTCATCATTGACGATAGGCAGTCTGATGGGCAGCCCGGCCCGAAAATCCTGGGCCAGGCTGAGCCCGTGTGTGCCATCGGGCCCGGCTTGGGCCTGGAAAATGAGCCTGACAGGTAAATCAGGCCGGGCTCAGGCCTGCAAAAAACGTTATTTTAGCCGTAGCCGGGCTGGGCCGACCGGGCTCGGGCCGGAATTAGTAGGCCCGATCACCGGGCCGGGCCAGGCTTTTTAGCACCAAGCTTTTTTAGGCCCGGCCCGAGATATGCCCAGGTAGATGGATGTGTGCTGCACTTTATTCTATGAATGGATGGTGCTAGGCCGGTGTTTGTAGGCAGGGTCTCCGGCGCCCTGCTCTGTCTCCTTTTCTCGTTTTTTTTCCACCTGCACTGTACTTTGTACTCTCCTTCATCAATGAAAATCAGCACCCTGCTGCTTTTTCGTCAAAAAAGATTCTACCCTGAGATCAATGAAAAATGACAAGCTTTGCCATTTCCTCTAGAAAATAGTGAATGGGGAATTGTTTCTTCTTTTAAAGGTACAAGATTAAGATTTAACCGAAGTTCTATAAATATTTTTGAACAATACTGTACTCGAGTGTAATGGAGAATGGCTGTAGCGTTTTGCTAATTAGGCCCAAGACACAACAGTGGATACCGAATCTTTCTGAGAGCCATTTTTGTCGGGTTCGGTCCTACTTAGCGCGCGCGAGCGAGCACCCTTGATGCATACGTTAATGTTTTGGATAAGGATTTTGTGCCCTTGCAAAAAAATAAGTATTTTGTGCAGTAAGCTTTTCTGTTCACTCGTGTAGTGAATTGCGCAAATTCTACCCATGATATATCAATGGAAAATGGCAAAGCTTTCGTCCAGAAAACAGGACAGCCTCGAATTTTTAGATCCACCAAAGTTCTTTTTTTTTGAAAAAAAAGTTATGAGCACAGAATTTTACTTGAGTCCAGTGGAGAATGGACAGTGTTGGGCTAATTGGGCCGAACCTTGCGCAGCATAAAACACTCGTTCCTCTCTTCGGCCACGCTAGAAAAAATATAACTTGTTCCTCTTGGGCGAAACCCCGGAGCCGCCGGAAGGGGGTCGAAGAGCCGACGAGGGGGAAGTGTCGGGAAATCATTTCACCGTCAAGCGGCGAGCCCTCCCATCCCAATCCCATGGCGGCGACCGCGGAGCTCGTCTGATCCGAATCGCGCTCGTGAGTCCTCGATGCCCCCTTTTGCTCGCGGAATGCATTCTGCCCCGATTTCCTTCTTGTCCGCGCTCCTCCATCTGTAACGCCAGCTAGGGTTTGTAGTTACTGGCTGTAATTGAGGGATTGAGGCGCTGGTGGGACGGCGCGCACGAGTGTTCGACAGTAATCTGCACTTTTGGTACATGAGAGAAAATATATTTTGTTGACCGTGGGTTCACTTTGGGTAACTGGAGATTGTTGACCTTTTCTTGGCCTGGCGAAGCGAGTATTTTTAGTGAAAATTTCGGAGCAGAGATTTTGAGATGCTATCAGTATCTTCCTTGGCACATTGGTTGGTGAATAACCTTGAAAGCGAGATATGAATGCATAAATTTCACATTCTTTCTTCGCCCATAAAATTATTTCAAAGTCAGATCTATCTAGCTATCATTAATTGAAAATGTGTGTTTGGCTGTTTGCAGAAGGGTCTGGTAGTTCAGCTGCTTCAGCATTGGCTACTCACTATGGTTACTGAAGAAACCAAATCAAAGAAGCAAATAAATGAGGAATGCGTCATAAACCGCCTCCCGGTAGACCTCATTGAGCGGATATTTTTGGGGCTTCCAGTGAGCACTCTGTTGACGTGCGTCGGAGTCTGCAAGCACTGGCACAACATCATCCGGGATCCACAGTTTGTTGCATTGCACCTCCAGTGTGCGCCAAGTTATGCCCTTCTGTTCTCCCCGCGAGGTTTGGTTTCAGGCGAGCCCTACCCTAGTGATGCTGTCTTAATTGATGAAGCCTGGTCGTCATCAAGATATGCAGTGCCAGTGATTGGGCCTGATGATTTCCTTTTCGGTTCATGCAATGGCCTTCTTGGCGTATACACAAAGACATCAATGATTAAGATAGCTAACCTTGCAACTGGTGAATGTCTACATCTTCAGAAACCTGCGAAGAATGTGAAAGGTGATCACTTCTGTTTCTACAGCTTTGGATTTCATCCCGTGACAAAAGAATACAAGATTACACACTTCCTTGGTGATTGCATTAATGGTCGCCCCCACAATAAAGACAGGTTCAACATCATCCAAGTTTACACGCTCGGCGATGAGAAATGGAAAGATTTCCGAACTCCAAAAGCTCTTAGCTTGATCAGTGTGAGAAACTCTGGAGTTGTCAATGTTGATGGCAAAATGTATTGGTTAACTGAAGACATGTCAGCTAACTGTCAGTATTCAGTTATGTCCTTTGATCTATTGGAAGAAAGTTTTGCAATGACACAACTGCCTGCAGCATATGAAGATCATGATTATTATGGTCCTCGTAAGTTCTGGATCAGAGATATAGATGGGAAGATATGCATAGTAACTGCTCAAACCAGTCACTATGATGCCAGAACTGTTCTTGGTGAGCTGCAGATCTGGACACTTGACAACACGGCAGAGCAACAAAGGTGGAGCCGGAAGTACAACATTGAGAACCCGCCTAATTACATTCTGGGTCCACATTTTGTTCACAGGGATAGGATCCTCACACAACTTGGCAGCGATGATGTATGTTCGTATGAGTTGCTTAGTGAGAACTTCAAGATTGATTTGAGCAAGATGGCGAAGCTGTTAGATTTCAGTCCCCACGGGCAGAACTTGCAATCTCACAACTGCGTGAAATCACTTGTACGTTTAGAAGTATTCAGTAAGGCTGGCATCGTGCGCAGACCAAAACAGCGGGATGGGTGGGAACTGAAAAAGTGGGAAGCTTGGGAGCAGAATCTTAACAAGAAGGAAACAATGTGGTCCAGACTTTATGAAGATGAGCATAAGAAAACTGTATGTTGGCTGAAATCTAATTTACGTCAAAGAACCTTTATTATTCTGTAAGATGTAACAAATTGTTGAATTACCATTTTGTAGGCATCCACACAATCTTTGCACGCTCGACTTAATCATCTACTGCCTCAAATCTTGGATGATGTGATGCGACAGCAGATATGCATGAAAAACAATCAAATATGTGCAGCCTTTGCAGATCAGGTAATTCCTTATCGAGATGGAAGTTAACATACACTTTCTTTTCATATTTTTAGTTTGAATAGATAATCATCTGAAGAGCAAAGACATTGTGTGCACCCTTATATTTGTAACAATTGTCTTACATGAGACTCCAGCAACCAAGGTCCCTCCGGCGGCTTAACTGGGTGGAGCAAAAGCGGGATGAGGAAACATTATTTGCTCGTGTGGAAAAGTTTATAGATATTACCATGGTATAGTTACCTGCATTCACTAGCCAGATCACTTAGAAGTAGAACTGTTCCTTGAAACAGACTTAGCTCATAAAGTTGACTTGACTACAGGCTGCTACTCAGGCAATTGAAAGCGTCCATGATATGATCGGAAGAGTTACACAGGATCTTGATGTAATGTTTTTTAATGTTTTTTAACTTTCCACTCTAGCTTGCTAGTTTTTGTTACCTGTATCAATTCTAGTTTCCTCTGCCATATTTAAATAAGCAAATTAGCTTATCTTGAAATGTAAGGATACTGATTGTATTATCTCCATATATGAATGATTTCCATTATGCTACAGTTATGTGCATTTACATATTTGAATCTATGCATATCTGTGTACCTAGTTTTTTTTGCTAACATTGGTGCTTTATTTGATTAGTTGCCTAGTTACTGGGTTAAGAGTGTTTTCTTTTCTAATGGGGATTCTAGGTTTTCCCTATTGTATTTGACTCTTGCTTATGTTTCAGAAGTGTACTTCAACTTCGAAAGCTGGCATTGCTTCACAGAATCACAGTGGCGACGGCGATGGTGATACGGACTTGGGACTTTAGAGCTTATCGTGACATTCTTCTTGGCTTGCTCAGGCTGAGCCTGTTGTTCGACTCTTGCGTCTTCTTTAGTCTCGAATGACTGGTTAGCGTTTCCGGTAAACCGGTGGTTTGTGCATCAGCACCTATCTGATGTTATGTTTGAGCATCCCAACCAACTATTGCCGCTATGAATTATCTATTTAAGTTTTAGAGAACATTTCACGGTGCAAATCCCTTGTGTGTGGATTATATATAAGCTTGTCCATGGTAGAAAGCACACACTTCAAGCAGCTTCTGGTTACAAAAAAAAAAGAGAGCAAGTTCAGAGCTTCTGAATCCTGAACTGACAAACTGTCACTATGGCATTCAAGTACCGAATTTCAACTGCAACAGCAACAAAAATGCTTCCTTGCTCCCCCGTTATCTTAATGCATGCACAAGGTTGGATGCATAGGTGGGGCGGCCGCGTTGGCCCGTCGCTCCATCAGGTTGCAGCAGCAGGATCCTGCACTGGCGTCCTTGTGTGTTCTGCATTTGCCTTGGTCATGGGTCCAATAGGTAGGTAGCAAGAAATCACATGTATCTTCAGAACATGGTCCATCAGGCTGGTAACGAGAAATCATATGTATCTTCAGAACATGGCCATACCTGAAACATGGATTATCGTGTAATTTTTGGTGGAATCTTAAGCAACCGGGCACTGTAACATATTCAAAACTATTTTGCGCAGTATGCCTTGTTCGTTCAGTCATGGAGTGGATTTTGCAGGTTTTACCCCTGGCATCAATCAATAAAGAAAATGGCAAGCTCTGCGGTCTTGTCTTCTCGTCCAGAAAGCTAAACATAGTCGAGTGGATAGTTTTCCTTCTTTAAGATGTACAAATACAAAGTCTTGTGTGTGATAGGTAGGTCCGTCCCGTAGGGTGACGGTTCGCGTATTGCTCCGACAATCACGGAGGCGATTAGGGTTTTGGGCCGCGTGGCTCCCGATCCCATCTGCGAACGTGCCTCGCCCGTGATCCTGTTGAGTTCTCCTGATCTGGTTCGAGCTTTCGTCCCCGACCCATCCACCTCACAACCTTCTGCGCGTTTCCTAGGGCGCGCAGTCGTAATACACCGTGAACCCTAGGCGGCGGTTGGGGTGGTCCGGAGGAAGGGCGATGGAAGGAGTAGGGAAGTTGATGAGTAGGCTCAAGCTTTCGGAAGAGGAGAAGAAGGTAGTCAAGATCCGCGGGGCGGCAAAGGAGAAGGGGAAGAACACAGATCCGCGGGCAATTGGCAAGCTGTTGTCCGAGAAACCAGCACATCCAGATGCGATCTCTCTATCCCCGGGGCGCGTCTGGCGGATGTAGGAGATAACGCTTTCATGTTCACCTTTAAGCAAGAGTCAGGGAAGAGGAAGGCACTGGAAGATGGGCCGTGGATGTTCGATAAGGAGTTGATGGTGGTGGAGAATTATGATCCAGGCAAGCGTATTGAGGACTATGAATTTAATGATATACCCATCTGGGTGCGCATTTTCAGTCTACCTTTGGGCATGATGAACGAGGAAGCGGCAGAAGATATAGGGAATACCATTGGTAAGTTTGTAGAGGCGGATGCAGGGGTGGATGGGAAGGCCATTGGAAATTTTCCGCGAGTCAAGGTGAGAATGAATATTGAGAAGCCCATCATGAGGGGATTCACGTTGGAGGAGGAGGAAGATGATCAAAACAAACAAAAACAGAAGAATAAAATGGCCATCGACAGTACGGAAGAAGAAGAAGAGGAGGGGCAATGGTGTCGGTTCGAGTACGAGTTCATGACGGACTTCTGCTATACTTGCGGATTGATTGGCCATGGTGAGAAGGATTGCACTATTAAGCTGAAAAAAGGGAACGACCACAGTTTGGAAGTTGGCTCAAGGCGGATGTAGGAAGGAGGAGGGCTAGCAATCATGACCATTGGGGTTGGAAGGGGAAGAACAGGAGTGGAGATAACCAGCGAAGCTATGGCTTTAGTCGGTCGGGTGGGAGATCGGAGAGTGGGAGTGATAGTCTGTCATGGAAGAAAGAGGGGGACGGAAGAAGAGGAGGGAAGGAAGATGGCACAGAAAAGGGAGAGGAAGTCACTGAAGGAAATATGCCCTAGAGGCAATAATAAAGTTATTATTTATTTCCTTATATCATGATAAATGTTTATTATTCATGCTAGAATTGTATTAACCGGAAATATAATACATGTGTGAATACATAGACAAACAGAGTGTCACTAGTATGCCTCTACTTGACTAGCTCGTTAATCAAAGATGGTTATGTTTCCTAACCATGAACAAAGAGTTGTTATTTGATTAACGAGGTCACATCATTAGTTGAATGATCTGATTGACATGACCCATTCCATTAGCTTAGCACCCGATCGTTTAGTATGTTGCTATTGCTTTCTTCATGACTTATACATGTTCCTATAACTATGAGATTATGCAACTCCCGTTTACCGGAGGAACACTTTGGGTACTACCAAACGTCACAACGTAACTAGGTGATTATAAAGGAGTACTACAGGTGTCTCCAATGGTGGATGTTGGGTTGGCGTATTTCGAGATTAGGGTTTGTCACTCCGATTGTCGGAGAGGTATCTCTGGGCCCTCTCGGTAATGCACATCACATAAGCCTTGCAAGCACTGCAACTAATATGTTAGTTGTGAGATGATGTATTACGGAACGAGTAAAGAGACTTGCCAGTAACGAGATTGAACTAGGTATTGGATACCGACGATCGAATCCCGGGCAAGTAACATACCGATGACAAAGGGAACAACGTATGTTGTTATGCGGTCTGACCGATAAAGATCTTCGTAGAATATGTAGGAGCCAATATGGGCATCCAGGTCCCGCTATTGGTTATTGACCGGAGACATGTCTCGGTCATGTCTACATTGTTCTCGAACCGTAGGGTCCGCACGCTTAACGTTACGATGACAGTTATTATGAGTTTATGCATTTTGATGTACCGAAGGTTGTTCGGAGTCCCGGATGTGATCACGGACATGACGAGGAGTCTCGAAATGGTCGAGACGTAAAGATTGATATATTGGAAGCCTATGTTTGGACACCGGAAGTGTTCCGGGTGAAATCGGGATTTTACCGGAATACCGGGAGGGTTACCGGAACCCCCCGGGAGGCAAATGGGCCTATTGGGCCTTAGTGGAAAATTGAAAAGGGGCTGCCCACAAGGGCTGCGCGCCTCCCCCCTTCCCTAGTCCTATTAGGACTAGGAGAAGGGGCCGGCCCCCCTCTCTTCTCTCTTCTCTTTGGAGAGTCCTATTAGGAATAGGATTGGGGGGGAGTCCTACTCCCGGTAGGAGTGGGACTCCCCCTGCGCCTCTCTCCCTAGCCGGCCGAACCCCTCCCCCTGCTCCTTTATATATGGGGGCAGGGGGCACCCCATAGACACACAAGTTGATCATAGTTGATCGTGTTGGGGAACGTAGTAATTTAAAAAAAAATTCCTATGCACACGCAAGATCATGGTGATGCATAGCAACGAGAGAGGAGAGTGTTGTCTACGTACCAATGCAGACCGACTGCGGAAGCGATCACACAACGTAGAGGAAGTAGTCGTACGTCTTCTTCCCGATCCGACCGATCCAAGCACCGTTACTCCGGCACCTCCGAGTTCTTAGCACACGTACAGCTCGATGACGATCCCCGGGCTCCGATCCAGCAAAGCTTCGGGGAGGAGTTCCGTCAGCACGACGGCGTGGTGACGATCTTGATGTACTACCGACGCAGGGCTTCGCCTAAGCACTACAACGGTATGATCGAGGTGGAATTTGGTGGCAGGGGGCACCGCACACGGCTAAGGAACGATCTCAAGGATCAACTTGTGTGTCTATGGGGTGCCCCCTGCCCCTGTATATAAAGGATGAAGGAGGAGGAGGCCGGCCAAGGCATAAGGTGCGGCCAGGATGGGAGTCCTACTAGGACTCCAAGTCCTAGTAGGAGTCCATCAAGAGGGGAGGAAGGGAGAAGGAATAGGAGGAGAAGGAGAGGTGGCCGGCCCCCTTTTCCCTAGTCCAATTCGGACCAAAGGGGAGGGGGGGGGGCGCAGCAGCCTTTTCCTCTTCCCACTAAAGCCCATCAAGGCCCATTACTTCTCCCGTAACTACCCGGTACTCCGAAAAATACCCGAATCACTCGGAACCTTTCCGATGTCCGAATATAGTCGTCCAATATATCGATCTTTACGTCTCGACCATTTCGAGACTCCTCGTCATGTCCCCGATCTCATCCGGGACTCCGAACTCCTTCGGTACATCAATACTCATAAACTCATAATATAACTGTCATCGAAACCTTAAGCGTGCGGACCCTACGGTTCGAGAACAATGTAGACATGACCGAGACACGTCTCCGGTCAATAACCAATAGCGGGACCTGGATGCCCATATTGGCTCCTGCATATTCTACGAAGATCTTCATCGGTCAGACCGCATAACAACATACGTTGTTCCCTTTGTCATCGGTATGTTACTTGCCCGAGATTCGATCGTCGGTATCCAATACCTAGTTCAATCTCGTTACCGGCAAGTCTCTTTACTCGTTCCGTAATACATCATCCCGCAACTAACTCATTAGTTGCAATGCTTGCAAGGCTTAAGTGATGTGCATTACCGAGAGGGCCCAGAGATACCTCTCCGACAATCGGAGTGACAAATCCTAATCTCGAAATACGCCAACCCAACATCTACCTTAGGAGACACCTGTAGTACTCCTTTATAATCACCCAGTTACGTTGTGACGTTTGGTAGCACCCAAAGTGTTCCTCCGGCAAACGGGAGTTGCATAATCTCATAGTCATAGGAACATGTATAAGTCATGAAGAAAGCAATAGCAACATACTAAACGATCGGGTGCTAAGCTAATGAAATGGGTCATGTCAATCAGATCATTCAACTAATGATGTGACCTCATTAATCAAATAACAACTCTTTTGGCCATGGTTAGGAAACATAACCATCTTTGATTAACGAGCTAGTC